GCATCGTCCTGTAAAAGAAAAGCGTCACGGCAAAAGGTCACTGGTGGGATTCCTGGTCAGGGTATGTGCCTGGGACACCGCAGGTCCCGGCTGGGGCACATGCCAGCAACAATGGGTTGGATCAACGGGGATGGATCGATGTTTCTCTCCCACTCTTTCTCCCTCCCTTCCCCTTTCTCTAAAAATAAATAAATAAATAAATAAATAAATAAATAAATAAATATGTAAATGCAATCTTTTCTTTTTTAAGGTAGTACTAAAGAGAAGAAAGGTCCAAAACTGTCTTAAAGGCAGATAATTTTTTTCTTCTATACTTACTAGTAAGGAAAGTAAAATGTGTATCCACCTCTCACAAGTTCTATAAAGAAATTAAAGATCTAAAAAAAAAAATGCTGTTAACAAGGAGCTTAAAAAAAGAAAAACTCAAACTCTTGGAAATTAAGATCACTGAAGACTGTAACATGCTGATGAGAAAATTTCCAGCAAATTCTCCAGAGGTCTTTAAAAATAGGATGGAATCATCTATCAAGATTAGTTTTAATAAAGTCCTACAAAGAGATAAAGGGACTGAATTACATAACCACCTCAAGGTTCCTTCCAGCTCTAATTCTGAAAAAGCTCCCAATTCTAACTCTTGCAAAGTTTCCCTAATGCTAACTGGCGCCCTTTACCTCCAATAAAGGCTGACCCTATTCTCATTCCTCTTAATGGCAGGGAGAAAAAATGATTGCTTTATTGCTATTGCTCCTTTTGAAATCTGTCTACTGTCACTGTAAAAAAACAGTAATGCCCTGGTCAGTGTGACTCAGTTGGGGCACCATCCAATTAACTAAAAGCTTGCAGGTTTGATCCCAGGTCGGGTTACAAGCCTAAGTTGAGGGTTTAGTCCCCAGTTGGGGCAAGTATGGGAGGCAACTGATCAATGTTTCTCTCACATGGATGATTTTCTCCCCATCCCCCCGCCCACCTCCCTCTCTAAAATTAAAAAAAAACAAACTAACTAATAATATCTATAACCCATGAGAATGGTTACCGTAAAAAAAACAAAACAAAACAAAGAAAAAAAATCCTAACACCTAACATTCCTGTGATGTTTCTCCTTTATTCACACTATTACTTCACTCACATCACTTCTGACACGAGATGGGGGCGGGGGGGTATGTTTCTACACCATCCAGCAATACTTCCACAGAGGCTCAGTGTCCTACAATTGATTCAACCCTAATACTACTTTCCTGGAGATATCATCACATCCCACAGGTTAAAGGCTCAGTCCCACAAGACTATCCCCCCCAACCCCCCAACTTCAGATGCCAATTGCAAGTCTAGATTCTCACCTGTGCTTCTCATGATCAACTACAAATTGGAAGTTCCAACAACCTACTCTTCCAGTTTGATTAATTTGCTAGGGCATCTCACAGAACTCAGGAAAGATGTTTGCTTATGTTTCCCAGTTTATTACAGAAAGATACGTTTGAAGAAATGCGTAGGACAAGGTGTGTGGGGAGGAGTAGCCACTCTCCCAGCACCTCTGTGTGTTCAGCAACCCACAAGCTCTCCCAACCCCGTATCTTTGGGATTTTCGTTGAGGAGACTTAACTCCATTTGCAGCACCTCTCCCCTCTCTAGAAAATGGGTGTTAGGACTGAGAATCCCAAGTTTCTAAGCATGGCTTGGTCTTTCTGGCGACCAACCCCCATCCAGGATCCCCCTGACAGTCACCTCATAGGACAAAACACCCAGAACGCTCCAAGACATTTAGGTACTCTGCGGTCAGAAGTCAGGGTCAAAGACCAAATATGAGAACAAAACATGTTCTTAATACTCATTAAGGGACTGCAGGTATATATACTCCTTTTATCTCACAGCCACCACCAAAAAACAAAAACCAAAAAACCCAGAAAACAAGTGTTGGTGAAGACACAGAGAAACTGTAACCCTTGTACACTGTGACGGGAATGTAAAATGGTACAGCCACTGTGGAAAATATTGTGGCATTTCCTCAAAAAATTAAACTACCATGTGACCCAACAATTCCACTTCTAGGAATTAAAAGCAGGAACTCAAGAGACCTATTTGTACATCCACATTCATAGCAGTATTCACAATGATTAAAACATGAGAGCCATCCAAGTGACCAGTGACAGAAGAATGGCTATGCAAAATGTGGTGTATCTGTATATACAATGGAATATTATTCACCCTTAAATAGGAAGAGAATTCTGATACATGCTACTACATGAACGAACCACGAGCACATTATGATAAATGAAATAAACCAGTCACAAAAAGACAAATAATGTATTATCTTACTTACATGAGTCAAATCAAAAGGGTCAGAAACTAGGAAGGTGGTTGCCAAGGGCTGGAAGAAGCGGGGAAAGGGGAGTTACTGTTTACTGGCTACAGAGTTTCAGTTTCACAAGATGAAGAGTTATGGGGATGGATGGAAGTGGCAGCTCATAACAACATGGACACATTTAATACCACTGAATTATACATTTAAAAATGGTTAGGATGGTCAATTTTATGTTATGTGTATTTTATCACAACAACAAAAAAAGGAAAACAGCAAGCAAAACCAAACAGTAATGTGTGATTGTTTCACATGCCCAATCTACCACAAGATCTATTTAATCGAACCCTGAACCCAAATCCAACAAAGTGGCAAGCATATATACAGTCCGCAACTTATAATAGTTCCACTTAATGATTTTCCGACTTTACAATGACACAACAGTGATAGGCATTCAGTAGAAGCCATCCTTCAGATCTTAAATTTTGACTTTTTCCCTGGCTAGCGACGTGTGGTAAGACACCCTTGCGATGCTGGGCAGGGGCAGGAAACCACAGCTCCCAGCCAGGCACCTGACCACCAGGGCAAACAGCTGGTGCTCTCTCGTGCAGCGCTGAATGCCTTTTCGACCTCTGATGGATTTATCAGGATGTAACCCCATCGTAAACTAAGGAACGTCCGTACATTCATCCCTACAAATACAGAAACATAAGACTCTGGAGGGTGTAAAGAAATCTTCGAACTTTCTAACTTCTCTCCCCTTCGTAAAAGGCAAATGTTGAAATATATGAGGAAATATAATTATATTGTAATACCTTGGGTTAAAAGAACCATGTTATAATCTAAATTTATATTTTAGTAAAAGCAGAACCCACACCTGTGCACTTAATGTCTTATGTGTATTTTTATGGCAAGTGTATCCCCCAGAAATTGCAAAAACAAAACAAAACAAAACCAGGCTGGAGCACTAGCATATCACTTTAAAACAAAAACAACTTTTTAAAATTAAAAAAAAAAAAAAATCCTCACCCAAGGACATGTTTATTGATTTTTTTCTAAGAGAAAAAGGAGGGACAGAGACACAGACATCGATCAGTCGCCTCCCACATGCGTCCCCACACGGAATCAAACCCAAAGCCTAGGTATGTGCCCCTGACCAGGAATCGAACCCGCAACCCTTTGGTACACGGGATGACACTTCAACCAACGGAACCACCCAGCTAGGGCAAAACAGAAAAACTTTAAAAAATATTTTAAAGATACTCTTGCCGTCCTAAGTTACCACAAATCTCTGTTTAAAAGGAAAGAAAAGAAAAACCCTCAGGGACAATATTCTTCATATTAGTATACAAAGCTACATGCCAAAATTCTTTCTAGAAGCAGCCCTAAACATTCTTTAGGGCATTCCACTAGACTGTTCTCCCAAAAGCCACCATAGTGCCTTGAGTAAACTTTTTTCCTAAAACTTATCAGGAAAAGTCAGCCAGATGTTTGAGTCATACGGATTTTTAAGTTTCATTTTAACCACTTAGCATTTCCTCATTGTATTAGTTGGCAATCTCCTAAGAAACATTGTTTACCAATGCTAAACTGTTAGGGATTAAGGGAGGGAGTAATTTGATTTACTACTAAATCAGAACACAACTCCTTTGTACTAAGTAAAAAGAACCCTTAAACACAAAGCAAGTCAAAAATGTGGACACGTTTCTATTTCCTTTCCCCTTTTAAATACCTGACTCATTTACCTGCAATGTATTTTCTGACTCCTCCCCATTAGGTTTCCCTGTTATGTTCTATACTCCAACTTTGTCTTATTAGCCATTTACACAGCTAGAACACAATTCCTTCCACTGCTTATAATGAGCCCATTCTTATCATTTCCCCTCTCGCATAATTATTTCTTTGAAAATGAAAACAAATCTATTGAATTTGCGTTATCATGTTGGCTTAGGCCTCACAGCTTCAGGGGAGGTCGCACCTCTCCTAAGTATTTTCTCCCCAACTCTTACAGCCTTACTCTCTCAACGTGACCTGGAGAAATGCTTTATTTTCCGTTTCACACCAAAGAGCAACAGGCCTATATCTATATAATATCTACTGACTGGAGAAGGAGTCGGCCAGATATTTGTCTTAAACCCCAATTAAATCACAACAGTCACAAGCCTAGTATAGGGAACAGACTAATTTGGGGGGGGGAGGGGCGAGTTTTCCTTCACATCTGAACAAGATGTATAAGTATTAAAGTCAATTGCAAACATCACAACACTCTCTCCCAGCAACACGGATCCTGCATCCTTTCAACCAGTTTGTCTTTAAAGACACTTTTCAGCAGCCTATGTCAGTCCACAGAAATGGGAGGTTAATAATTACTGCCTGGAATCGAGAACTCAAAATATTTCAGAACCGCCTGGACCTGGCTGGTGAATCAGCCTTGGTTAATTAGTAAAGAGTCATCACAAGTCACCACCAGGTTAAACAATCCCCTTGGGTGACAGAACTGTTGCTCAAAGAGTCAAAGGGACAACGAACTCCTCCTGGAGCCGGGATGGGGTCTACCCACGGGCTACGGGCGTACGGTTTTCGGGGCATCCGACCGGGTTCGCTTCCAGACCTGAGGTCCACTGTCTGGCCCGCAGAAGGGGTAGGGGATGCGGTAGGAAGTGTCTAACTACATTTCCGCCTGGTGCCTCCCCCTCACTTTCTTTGCCTCCTGAGGACCCCAGGATGGTTCTCCTTGGAGGGCTCCAGGACTCGAGAAGGAAGCAGCCGTCTCGAGGGCACGAGGAAGGGGCCTCGGGAGAATCAAGAGCCCCCGAGGGGTCCTCCCGGGTCCAAGGAGTCACCCCCTGCCCTGGAGGGCGGCCCGCATTTCTGGCCAGAACGGGTAAGGCAAAGTATTCGGGCTTCGAGCACACCCCCAAACCTTGGGGGACAACAGAGAAACCCTCAGGCTCAGTGAGATGGGGGAGCCCCTGTGCCGCCCTTGAGGCTCCGGCTCGTGGCAGGCCCGGCCAGCGCCCGGACACCGCCGCCAGCACACCTGAGCCGCGCCGGACGCCCTCCGAGCGGGCCGTGATCGCGATCCCCCCGCCCCCCCGGCCGCCTACTCCGCCGGCTCCGCACGGGCGCCAGCTCGCGGAGTCCGGCCCACAGCCCCGACCCGGCCGCCCGGTCCCACCGTACCTGGCCGGCTGCGGCGGCAGAGACGACAGCGCTGCTCCTCACATACCCATTCCGCACTTCCCCATTCGCCACGCAGCCGTTCGCCCGCACCGGGCGACGGCAGCAGCAGCCTCCGGGCTCCGGCCGCATGGTCCAGGCAGCACCAGGCGCAAGACAGACTCTGTAGGCGGTGGATCGGCCAGCAGCGGCGGATCCAAGTCCCGCTCCGCACCCCACCCACCTCCCCGAAACCGGAAATGGCTGCACGGTGTCGCCAATTCCCGGGCGTCACGTGGGGGCGGGGCCCACTCCCGCAGAGGCCCGGCCGCCCACGAGACGACCGGGTGGGGCGGGCAGGAGGGTCGTAAGCCTAAAGACCGCTGACCAATCTGGAGGAGGAGGAGGCGGACCCCGAGCTGCTGCCTGGCCAGTCACGGACGAGAGTAAAGCATCTCCCCGGTGTCCAGGACTTTTGGAGGGACTCGAGGACCTGGCACCCGATTGGAGGTCCAAGACTGGTCGTCGGAAAGGCTTGGATGCTTAATGGTCCACACTGAGGAGGGGGCAAGAAAAAGTAGCCAATTAAAGTGTGAGAAAAAAAGGGGGCGGAGCCCAACTCTAGAGCGGGTTCCCTGGTTCTCCTAGGCAGGTGGCGCCCCCTCTCCCTTGTCTCCGAGTAAATTCTGTTTTAATTCCAAACGGAAACAGGACTCTTTGATTTACTTTTAACTAAATCCTCTATGGGTGTTCATGGAATAGCCTTTCTGACATTGTCTCACTCTTATTCAGTATACGTTAACATAGTTCTTTCCCTGCCCCACCTGCCAACATTTTTTTCATATTTTTAAATATTATTTTTCAATTACAGTTTACATACAATATTAGTTTGCATTAGTTTCAGGTGTACAGCATAGTGGTTACGCAATCATATACTTTACAACACATTAACACAATTTCTTAAGTAATAATTCAGATGTCTCTGCCCTTCACCCTGTTCCTATCAGTGTTTTCTGTTCGATTTCCTTTAAAGAGCACTTCTTGAAAGTCGGGAAACGCGGTCTCCTTCCAGCACCGCCAATAACCAGAACCTCAACTTTGAATATTTAACAACTTTGGAAGTCACATTATTTTAAATAGAGTTAATACTTCCTGCTTCCCAGACCCATTGCAAGAATTACCTTAAAGCATTGTGCACCTGTCATAATACCTGGCCCATGCTAGGAGCATAATAAATGCTGTATTATTTTCTCACTCCTTTAATTCTATCTTCCCACAGGGGTTAGAAAGAAAGGAAATGGATATACTCTATAGCAAGAGACTTTTGGTTATCCATAAAGAATTCAGTGTCATAGTTAAGAGTATGGTCTCAAGTCAGGCTGGGTTTGAATCCTGGCTGTGCCACTCAATAACAGAGTGGCCTCTGTATGTCTTCATCTGTTCAGAGTGGATAATAGATGTCTTGAGGATTTAATGAGTTAACGCAAGCAGAGTATTTTGTACCCAACCTGGCAATTAGTAAACATTATTAAGTGTTGGTTATTATTAATTGCTGAATGTGCCTATGAGAGCCCATGCATTCTTCCCCCTCACCAGGAGCTTTAGAAACAGGGTCTGACAGCTTAGCAATTTTGCATGATTTGGGAGCTAGACAATCTAACAGCAGGTGGGCAGAGAACACATCCTCTTTGAGCCAACAAACAACATGATCCCAAAGAACCTAAGTTCGTAATAGATGTATGAAGGTGAAAAAGAAGCATACAGTTTGTGCCTCACATTCTAGGGAGAGAAAAGATGTGTACATAGTAAGCAAAGTAAAAGGCAGTGACAAGTCTAGTCTTTCTACATAGGAAGACTTCAGGGCAGAAACCTGGTTGGAAACATGACTAAAGGATTTTAATTAAAATTTAGATAGTGGACTAAATTTGGAGAAGATGGGGGATAAGCTTAGTTTTGAATGATGATGAGGATCTAGAAAGCTGGGAATGAGAAGGAAGGGGAGGGTGTTCCTGGGAGAGGGAACCTTTAGAAGCTCAGGTGTAGAGGCTGTAAAGGGCAAAGCCTTAAATTGGAAACTAAGAGTACAGGAGCCTGACTAGTTTAGAGGAATCTTGTTAGCCAATCCGTCCCTCCAGAGGGCAGGATACCAGGTCCTTGTCTGGTTCTGCCACTTACTCACCATGTGTGGTCTTGGACAAGTCATGCAACATCAGCCTTGGTTTCTTCACCCACCTTATGAAGTTAATACTTTTGTGAGCATCAATGATACACTACACAAATGATCTGATGACCTTGTATGCCATTGCTAAATCACAAAAAGGATGTCTCAGAAGGCAATAGGAAACACGCCATCCTCCATGTAAGCAGAAAAACAACTCCTTCCAGGTGTGCAGGGAGACTGATCATTGTTGTATGGAGGGAGTTCATATGCAAAGTTCCGTGGTAGGCACCAGGGTTACAACTCTTCTCTTCCTCCAAGATTGCTCAAACCACCTCAACTGTGGAACCTTTCTTGAACTCCAACCTCCTCACAAAATTAGTCACTTTCTTCTCTGTGAACTTCATACACACCCATGTAAACATATGTCACGTTGCTTTGGGATTTCCTTTTGAAGGGGAGGTTACAGAATGGTGAGGAACCAGAACTCTTAGTTGGGCAGGATTGGAGACCCAGCTCCAACCTTTAGAACCCTGTGACTTTGGCAAAGCTGCCTAACCTCTCTGTGACTCAGGTTTTCATCTACAAAATAGGACATACCTAATAGGGTTATGGAAATTAAATGAGAAAAGTATTTAGTACCAGGGTCTGTCACATAATATTCGATAAGTGTTGGCTATTACTAACTGAATGAACGAATGATTTGTTAAATGAATGAATGACTGAATGAAAACATTTATACTCCAACAGACAGAGAGCAGGCTCCTTGAGTTCAGGGAATTGTCAGATTCATTTCTGGGTCTGCAGCAGCTAGCACAATGTCTGGCACACAGTAAGTGTCCAATAAATTATGAATAAATAAATGAGTGAATAAAGGAAAATCTGGCCCTGATTCCAAGTAGCCTTCTATCACATGGAGCCTAATTAAAGTTATTTTGGTTGAAGACGTCTTAAGCCAATAATAGAAAACTTAATCAAGAAAGGCAAATTTATTGGAACTCTCCTCAATATAGGTAAGTATTAGAGTCCAGAAGAAACTCTCAAACCTCACCAATGAAAATTGTAGGCCTTTCTCCTAGCATCAATTTAGCTCTCAGCAACCTACACGTTTCATATCTTCAGGGTAAGACTTATGAAGTCCCAGAAAAAGAGAAATCTGATTGGCCCAGTTTAGGGTAAGATGCCTAATGCTTGGCCAAAACCATTTAGCTGAAGGAGCAGCCCCCCTGCACTATCAGAGAGCGGTCTTGGTTGCATGCAATGCTGGCTCACACACACAAAATGGAATTCACTGGAAAGTTGTTAGCAGCCCAGACCTGGTTACTGGCTGAGGGACCAGGCTTAGAAAAGACAGCAAGGACCTCAGTGAGGGTTTGTAGCAGAAACTGTCAAGTGGGCTCACCACCAAAATAAATGAGCTCCAGCCAGCCCTTCCATCCCTGAGCCACTTGTCCAAGAGTCAAAGTCCTGGGAGAGATCATCGGATTGACTGAGTTTAGGTCACATTGGTCCAAATGGAGGGACAGAGGGGAGATGGGACAAACAGAAAAAGGATGTGGTTTCTTCACCTTTCATGTAGGAGGTGCTTACTAGGATTCGCCCTCCCAAAAAGAGGACACACAATAAAGAGAGGATTTTCCCAAAAGGAAATTGTGGGCCTCATAGAAAAAGGGAACAGACGTTGGACAGGCAAAAATGACAGGGTTCACATTTTCTGTTAAGATAGCAGATTTAGAGGCTATCTGCTTTTATACAAAACCCAGGGCTAGACAACCCAGAATTACTATCTGATTCTGACTCTGAGAGCATTATTTGGTCTTCCCTTTCCAAACCTTTCATGCCTCATTCGTTTTGGGCATCATGTTAGGCACTACAAATACAATGATAAGCAAAACAAAACAAAACATGGTCTCTGTTCTCATAGAGCTACATTGTTGATTCACAAGAAAAGGATCTGTTATTTCCCTTTCCATTACTCCTAATACAATGACTAAAAGAGTCTACCTCTCCTCTCCCTGGGTTTCTGGCCCCACTTTTGCTAAAAAGTCTTAGATCACGGTTTTGGATCACTTTCAGTGGCAATATTTGCAACTACAAAACTGAGTCAGCCTAGGGACCAGAGTTTAGAATTGTAATATCTTTGCAAGGCCCAGGGCCATTTTAAAGGAATGACCGCATGCAAATAAGAAGCTTTAAGAGCATTCATGGTTTCGGACTGGCTCAGAGTGCCTGTTGAGCATCCACTAGAGTGATTTTAATCTGTGTCTAACAAGGCATTTGCAGTTGGAGCTTGGAGACAAAACAGATGACTGCTCCAGGAATAGGCAGCTGGAGCCTGTCTGTCAATGGTAGGTCTCTGCCCTTTTGTTTCCTATGCCCTAGAATTACCTTGGAGCCTCCTACTCAGTTGCCAAGCCCCACACTGCCACCCTGGACTTCCTGTGCGTACTCACCGGGCTGACTGTTGCAATCATCTGAGGCTCGGCTTCAGGAAGTGGACTTTTACTTCTGGCTCCAGGAAGGAGAAGGAGTGGTGCTGCAGATAACAATTATGTTGGTGATGGTATTAGTAAAGACTCTGAGTTGCAAGTTTTGAAACTGAACTCAAATTGGATTAAGCATAAAAATGTATTGACTTATATAACCAAAAGGGCTAGGGGTAGATGTAACTGGATGTAGGTGCTCAAACCATGGCATCAAAAATTTGTCACCATCCTTGGTTTGGTGTTCCAATGGGCTGGGTTCATTCCTAGTTAGGAGGTCCCCATGTGATGGTAAATATGGCTCAAGTCCAGCAAGCTTGCAGTCAACCAGCTCTAAAATCTCAGCTGAGGGAGTACCTATTTATTCTGTAGTCACAGGGAGAGTCCTAGCTAAGCTTCCATTGGCCCATCTCAGGTCACATGCTTCAGGCGATGTTGAATTGATTGGCCAGGCCTGAATCTTGTGCCCACCCACTCCCCCAGGTTGGAGCCACAGGCTCTGAGAATGGGAGACCAATGATTTTCCAAGTGGAAGAAATGGGTGCTGTTACCAAAAAAGAGGTGCTAGGCAGGAATAAAGAACAAATGTCCATTATACTGCTC